GCGCACAGTTGCGAGAGCACATCCATTTTCAGAACAAAACTAAAAAGTAACGGCAATAGTTACTTTAACTGGTAAATAGTTACTGTTATAGTGGATAACTCCGTTATAACTCAATTACTTTTTGGAGAAGTAACTTGTGCTATACAAATCAACTTTCCTTGCCCATATAAACCTCATTCTATTTAAGTTTGTAAGTTAATATTAGTACTTGGAAAAACTGGTCTACAGCTAGATTCCAGCAAAGACAAAACCAGAACAAAACATAATTTAATCCAGAATTAAAACATCAACCAACTTCTGCTAATAATCCAATCCATAAAAAACGTGTATATATATATATATAGTACATATCCCCATAAAATGGAATAAGCAGAATAATCAAACAGATCTATATTCTCACACGGTAAATTTACTCTCATAATAACAGGAATGTTTTTAATAGCCATAACTTCCTGTTTCCGAGAGTCAAATGCTACATCCTGCAGTTTTTGGCACAGCCTGAGTGTGTCTAATGGTTAACATGATTACTATCTTAAATATTCCATGTCTAATTTCACCCCGACCCGTTGAGCAAAGCCATGCGGTGACGCTAATGACTCCAGGGGCGTTCTTATGTTGCTTAAGCACGGGCTGACACCAGGCAAGAATAAATAATATTGACAAATTGTGAGTGCAAATACAGGTCAATGTTTCCTCCTGATAAAGAAGGATTATTTTTGTCATCATTTCTGTCAACATGTTTGATTTGCTGAGCAGATCACCTCATGACATTATATTTGTACATTGAAGTAATAGTAAGTAAGTAAGTAAGTAATCTTTATTTATATACCGCCTTTTCACTGCACATCGGAGTCTCAAAGCGGTTTACAATTGTTATTTTTGGGAGTGGGGGTGCCAGTACAGGAGGCACATGCCAGACCTATTGTACATATTTTTAGTGGTAGGGGAAACCGGAGGACCCGGAGGAAACCTACGCAGACACGGGGAGAACATGCAAACTCCACTCAGAAAGGCCCTGGTCCAACCGGGATTCGAACCCAGGACCTTCTTGCTGAGAGGCGAGAGTGCTATCCACTCAGCCACCGTGCCGCCCACTTGAAATGATAAGTGTAAAGATTAAGTGCTGAGCTGAGCTGGGCTTACGGGATCATACAGTATGTGCAGCAGGTGGAACAGGTGCCATTCTTTGGATCTGCTCTGTGCCCCTGACTGAGGCATGAATAATCAAAGTGGATCCGTCCAATCCAATACACTTTATGTTTATAGCACAATACATGAAACAAGTTGCCAAAGTGCTGCACAGAGACGAAAGTAACACATAGATTTTATTGCAGGTTCTACATGGGATCTCGTATTTGACATTGCACTGACTTTCTCGTTGTATTCAGTCTTTTGGGTGGACGGGAATATGTCTGAGCTTTTAGTGTGGTTTAATCTGCCTGATCTGTCCGGTAACAACAGCTGATCAGACACACTTCACACTGTCACGTGTATCAGCTCCTTTACAGTCTTAGTCTCAAAAGAACTACCAAAGCCTTAAACATAAAGAAGACAATGTATGACGTGAACACTGCCAAACGTTATGAAAAATAAGTCATAAATCACTCAAATTTAGCAACAATTATCTTAGTTTGAGACTGTTTTGACTGCTTTAAAACGTGATTTGCCAATGGGACAAGAAATATATCTTGTTTCAAAAAATATATAATAAATGTCTCACTTGGAAGGAGCAAATAAGGTAAAAGTCCTTGAAATGACACTAAATGGCTCTGTTCCATTGTTAGCTCATATTTAATCCCTTATTTCAGTGAATAAATAATGCCATTTGCTTGTGTGCTAAATCAAAAAATTATGGTCAAATTTTGCTCTGGTCTCTAGAAGTTATGAGAAGTGAGGAATACGCTCAAAACACAACCCCAGCGATGAAAAATAAGGATTTTGAACATTTTCAGAAAAATATGGGAACATGGCTTTTTACCATAATCAAAATAAAATGCAGTTTGTGGGTCAGTATCATATGAATCCTTTGCCGGATGGAAAACGAGATTTCTGGAGCTAAGTCCCCAGACATTCCTCTCTCACAAACATCCTCTTCTGGGGGGTAGACGCAGCACGCACATGTGAATATGTGGGTGTATTAATGATGCTGCTGACCCAAATTCTTTCTTCTTCAAATTGAACATAAGGTGTAGGATTCGTTTTGTTTCCTGGTGATTTGTCAGGGTGTGGCTGGTTATGTTGTTCTAGTTTTGGGGTATTTTGATGTTGCGATAAATCATGCAATGGAAAAGTCTGTGCAATAGCAAAATACTAATCACTATAACAACAGAAGAGTTATGCATTACTCATGTGAGAAATGTGAGGCTAAAACAATAGGCCACAAGTGAATAAGCGTAACATTATTATCACCGAATGTGTGGGCCCTGAAAAGAATACCCCAGGTTTCAAATGGAATTGTTTCAAAGATTGTCACCAATATTATTTATCATCATATGGTCAACTCTCATCACTCTGGGTAATAGAGAAGGAACAAGACACAGTTCCCACAAGACAACACAATATTAGCAGATTAGATTAGAGTGGATCCACGATGAAGAAATTGTGCAGCGTTTCATGTCTTGTATTTTGTTTCTTTGGGGCCAGACCTTTCTGTGTGGAATTTGCATTTTCTCCCCATGTCTTCCTCTAGGTGCTCCGGTTTCCCCTATACTCGATAGTCCCCCATATCAGTCTTCCCGGCCCCCCTTCCGCCTCCACTCTTTGGTTCTAACGTACTCTAACTGACAAAGTCTGTGACCGAGTGCTGCTGGGAGTCATGGTTACCAAAAGATTTCCAGGTACTGTTTTGTTGATACTAAAGTGTACATAAGCAGTTAGAGTTGAGCTAAATAAAGTAGAGAAGAGCCAAACATGTTTTTAGTGGTATAAGGGCAACTGGAAAACCCAGGGAGGAAACCAGGAGAGAAAATGTAAACTCCACACAGAAAGACCCTGTTCTGACCTGGATTCGAACCCATGACCTTCATAAGCAAGAGCGCTAACAGCTTACCTCAACGCTTATTTTTAAGAGCAAGTAACAACAGAACAGCATTGATTGTTTTTAAGGCTGTCACGATTCTCCAAATCCTCGATTTTGATTTGATTTTCAGTTTTAGGGTCACGATTCCATTTGATTCCCGGTTTCTTTCTTTTTCTTGCAGCACACTGTAGCTTACTGTAGTGTGGGTCAAGCGCGCTAATTAAATGTTTAAATCTACCACCGAATATGGCTTCAGATCTGCTGCTATAAATAACACCACCACAATTTCACCCTGAAACGAAACATGGTAGATAACATTTAATTGTAAAAATCTTTTGATGAGACAATACCTAGGATGAATAAGATAAAGATGTATCCCAAACTTGTATCCAACAATGTATCCCGTACCTCTTTGCACACTTCCCTGATGTATGCACACCTAGGGGGAGATGATTGTCGACCCTCTCATGGATTGTGATGCTCGAGACCATGACATGACAAAAAAATTGAAATCGTGACACCCCTAATTGTAATTCACTCGACCAGACCACAGCTGATCAGTCACGTCCACTCCACATGTGGGTCAAGTGTCTTGCTCAGAGGCACAAGTGAACAAGTGCTGGAACCACAAAGCAGCTGTAGTCTCTGTGTTTGATGGATATTCTGCGGCCTCATGATTCTTACATGAAGTTCATCTACAAGCCTTGTCTTTGGCCGATCCCAGTGATTACCTCTGCTCTGTTCAAAGTCGACACATCTGATTGTTGTGGAAAAACAAGCGATCGTCTAATGGCTGACCCACATGCTCTCCACTGGGATCTACTCTTTCTTTCAGTGCCAGAAGAGAAAGAAATGGAAAATTGAAAACTTTTTAAGCTCGACGCTACAACACGACTTTGATATCTGTAACTCGCTGTGACCAGAAAAAAGAAGAATGTAAACAGTCGCGGAATTTGACGTTTTTCTGCAGATGTAATTTGTAAAACATCGAGACAAATGGGTCCTACAAACTGACTCGACAAGAACAAAGAAGGGATGGTAAAAAAAAGCCATGGAAGCAGAGGACAGGAGGTCAAAACTCCCTGTTGCCAGACAATTGTACAAAAGCTTTTCTTACTCGAATCCGACCAGGACAGCAGTAAAATCTTCTGAAATAATATGTATGGAATTAGAAAATGTTTTATCATTTTCATGCTTGTAAGAAAGAGCCCTGTCAGTCACTTTCGATACTTTGGACTGAGAGCCAGGGACATGAGCTCTATTTCCACCAGCCTCACTTGTCTCGAATCTACTCTGGTACCGTATCCTACTGTATCCTAGCAGCCCACCTACAGCAAACCAGTATCCGTGGAAATTCCTTGGTAAACATTGCGTCCAGCAGCACTCTGACCAATCACAGTCAGTAAGAACATTGTAGTATGTAGTAGCACCAGGGCCATGAGGGACAAAAGAAGGACCTGGTTCCGGTTAACCAGGACCGGTGGAAATGCTCACAAACAGGGGAGAGTAGAGTAAAATCGAGCCAAGTAGAGTAGAGCAGAGCAGAGTCGAGCCGAGTGGAGTAGAGAAGAGTAGAGTAGAGCAGAATAGAGTTGAGTGGAGTAGAGCAGAGAAGATTAGATTAGAATAGAGTAGAGTAGAGTAAAGCTGACTTGAGTAGAGTTTAGTAGAGTAGAGTACAGTAGAGCCAAGTAAGGCTGGTGGAAACGGGGCTTTAGATAACATTTTGAAGTTAGGTACCGCAGCTTTAACACAAAGCTGGAGATGCTGAGGCTGTTCCATAGTCACACATGGTTTAAAGTACTGTACATGAAACACTCTTCTGACTTCTGGCTTATGTCTCATGATGGAGTGGCCCTTCTCCACATTACACTGTCTCCTGCTGCAGCTGCTTCACTTCCTACAGACGTCCGAGACTAATCCTGCCGCGTTTATAAATCACTTGAGGTTCAACAGAAACTTCGTCCGCTTCTATTTGAACTCAGCCCTGTGTCATGTGACCCGCGGCCTTGACGGATGGCTCACCTAAGCACCTGGACCCGTCTGCCGAGGTGTAGAAGCCCTGGGGACACTTGCAGAAGAAGCTGCCCACGGTGTTGGAGCATTCGCCCACGCCACACAGTCCCGGGACGTTGGAACACTCGTCCAAGTCTGCAGAGAGAAACGGAGACGCCTCATTAATCAGATGGGCAATCAATTAAACTAACATGAACCAGGGATGTCTGCAAAGGCAACTAAAGCCGCTTTCTGGCAGAGGGAACATAGCTTGTCAAAGGATATTGAAATCACACTGTAAAGGAATAGTCAAATCTAAATAAGAAAGAAAGATACTGTTTTGTTTGCCAGCTTTAGTGGGGAGATGAGGAAATTTTTTTCTTTCTTCCAATGAAATTACAGTAGCGGTGAAAGTCAGAAAATTAGAAGTAAGTAGTATTCTTTATTTATATTCTGCCTGGAAGCCTCTTCAGTCCTTCAGTCCTCATTCTACTGCCTGATCACTGGCTCCTAACCATTTGTTATTAATGCATTTCCTGTGTTTGAACTGTTTAATTTTCTGATCTGCTGTTGAGGATTGACAACTTTGTAAAGTCCTCCGAGACAAATGCTGTAAATAAATACATATAGTTTGATTTAATTGAACGACTCTGCCATTGTGCCGGGCAACCAAAGATCGAAGGTCCATACTTTTGTAATTCAACTTACAATGTGAAACTAATGACCGATTTATTACATGCATTAATTCATTATGATGTTGATAATTGACTCACAGTTTGAGAAAAACCCAAATGTACATATATTTTTTAAATTGACTGTGAGCCATAATAATCACAATTTTCACACACAAAGGTTTGGTCTTGACTCAGCAGATGAGAACCACTGCTCAAATGTCACCATAGTAATACCAGTAAAAATGCGAAGGGATTATAATCTACTGTAAAATGTTCACTCTCATCTTCTGCAGAGCTTTTGCATAACTTTGGTTGTGTCTCATGAAGTTCACATAAAAGAGAGTGATCTGTGTGGTCTGCCCTTTCAAACCCGAGCTGACGCTAACCCCACCACAAGTCGACGGATGTGGTTTTCTGCTCATTCATTAAACAAGTCTTTATATGAAACCTGTGGACTTTGCCTTGTCATTGCTCTAAAGGCGTGTTTGTGGACGTCAGACGGAGGTTTTTGGGCTGAGCTTACCTTCACATTTCTGCGTGATCTCGTTGAACTTGTGACCGGCGGGACATTTGCATTCGAAGGAACCCACAGTGTTGATGCAGTTTCCCCCCTGACAGAGACCGGGAATGGCCTGGCACTCATCCACGTCTGTCCAAACACAACACAGGCCCAAGCAGACTTTTATTTCATTTGTTTCACTCGTTAACTCTATAACAACAGAGTCAAAACAGCAGGTTTGGCTTTCACAAAAGGTCATACTTGCAAGTCATAGCCAGATCTTGTTAGATTTCTGAAGATAGGCAAGGCAGGGTGAGGTTAGTACTGTGATGGGAGACCTGTGGAAACACCAGGTACCACAGTGGGGCGGCTGCAGCTGTAAAGTCTGTAATGGTTGTTGTGTCCTAAGGCAAGACACTTCACCCACATTGCCTAGAATGCGTCTTGTGTATGTGTGATTAGTTGGTGTTAGTTGCAGGGGCCAAGAACCTCTGTTTGTTGACCATGCACGTTTCCAATAGAAAAGTTATTCTTAATATACAGTATTACTTTACTGGCTATTTTTGTGGTTCTTTTGAGAGACAACCAGTGGCGGCCGGCCAATAGAGGGCGCTAGGGCGCCGCCCCACCACTCACAACTTGCCATGTTACCTTGAATAAAACATTAAAAAAAATAATAACATTAAAATATTTCAAAATGTATGTGTGTTTTATTTCAGATGTGGAAGAAATACTTTATAGTTTATGCTGAGTTGGATTGATTAAGCTCATCAGCGTTGTCTGTGTCGGACTGAGGACGTATTTCCGCCTCAGGGCGCAAAAGATTGCGCCCTGAGCCGTCTATGGACTCTCGTTAAAAGTTGTACATGCGCAGTAGCTCCTCTTCAATGCAAGAGATAAGACGATTTGGGGGCGCAGGAGAAGTGCGCCCTGAGGGGGCGGGATCGCACGCGACCTGTACTGTCACTGTCTGTGACGTCCGTTTACAGTGATTGACAGGTCAAGCTGTGGGAGTTTGAGACGAACGTAAAGAGACGCAAAATGGAGAACGAGAAAAAGAATAATTCAGTTAGATCACTCAAAACAATACCGTTTGAGAGAAGATCATACCAGGAGAAGGTTGAGGTTAAAGAGCTTGGACCTGATCAGCCAAATATCACCATTAGTCAGCAGTCCAGCGACAGGGGGAGACGGTACACTCGTACTTTTTCCAGGACCTGGTTCAGCGCCAAATCTTGGCTAGCAGCATGTAGCGAGGCTAATGCTTTATTTTGCTTTCCATGCCTCTTGTTTCAAACATCAGGATCTGACCCAGCATGGATCAAGACAGGTATGACTGATCTGAAGCACTTTTTAGAAAAGGCAAAGAAGCATGAGCAGACTGGTATCCACATGCAAAATGCCCTCAAATTAGCTATGTTTGGGAAGATAAATATTTCATCCCAGCTGGATGAAAGCTACAGGGTAGGGATCAGAAAGCACAATGAGGAGGTTGACAAGAATAGGCACATCTTATCAAAAATAATAGACTGTGTCAAATTCTGTGGTGCATTTATATCGAGTCATCATATTCATAGCCCCCCCAGTAGAAAATTCCACCAGCCGCCACTGGAGACAACTTAAATGTAATACCTTGTAAACAAGCAGGCAAATAAATATGGTGAAAGGCTAAACAATTTTTGGGGGAATTTCTCTGAATTCCTTTGGCTTGAATGGGAGCAGTCAAAATTATGGCTCTGGGAGTTCTCATAGTTTCAGAATTCAGAGTCCTAGTGTTCATTAAAAAGATTTTTGATTTTTTTTCTACTTTACAAAGAACTTAAATCATTGCAGTCCTTGCGATGTGCCATCTGTGAACACAAACATTCAAAGAATATCTTTTCCAACACATTTGTCGGTGAGTAGATTAGACTCGAGCTCAATAGCAGAGCAGTCATTCCCCTGCTGGCCGTACACCCTGTTCCTCTGAGCTTATTTTTGGGACTTCCCGCTGATAGACTGTTCTACTGGGACCGGCCCAGATCTCCAGCACTGACCCGTGACACCCCCTCTGACAGACCCCACGGCCTGAGCCATCCCTGGGCATTCCACGCTCAGAGGAGGCACTGCCACCCACCTCCACTCCGACCAATTAGACCTAATCCCCTGCACCCAGACCAGCACAGAGGGACACAGGGGCTGGCAGCGGTTCAAGACTGGATGAAGATTGACGTTCAGAATTCAAAAACAACATCATCTCACATCACCACTTGTACCTGTCGGGAATGAATGCGAGGAATGTACTGCTCTTTAATTAGGTACAAATTAGGGCTGGGTATTATTTAGAGACAACCCAAACCGGGGGAGACGTTTTTATATGATTAAATAGTATTACCTGTAAGATTAAGATGATTTTTTCCCACAGTGGGGGACGTTTCAGTGTTGCATCATAAGTTACAGACACAAAATAATAATATTCTTGTGACAGAGAATAGACCTTAAAACAGTTCTGCTTGTGGCCTGTCCCTATGGCCTCGCACCAAAGTACATCTGTGACATGTTAGTGCCATATGAACCAAGGGACTGGCTTCCTGCTGGTGCCCAGAGTCAGGACTAAACATGGGGAGGCAGCGTTTCATATTTATGCAGCTAAAAATGGAACCGTCTTCCTGATCATGGGAGACAGACTTCTACTCTGACAATGTTTAAATCCAGGTTAAAAACTGTTTGGTTTAGCTGTGCATACAACTGAAGGAGTACATCTTCACTCGTTTGATTGCACCGAGACTATTTATAACGTCCAACTTTTTTCCCCATGGTGTTTTTTTTTTTGAGTGGTTCTTTGCCGATGCTGGAGGGTCTAAGGACAGTGATGATCCTGAACATTTAGGAACAATAATTAACATTTATGGAAAGTGGTCATCCTGCTTTTTTATTAATGAAGCAAAGAATAAACCAAGGACTGTAAATATTATAAACTTGTGAATGTAGCACTTTCTGCTTCAATGAGTGAACCAAAATTGGTCGAGCTTAAGTGACCCAGTCAAATGTGAAGCACTCTTAATTAGGCCAGTTTTCCATGTTTACCTGGGCCATGATTTTGATTTCTCTACCTACTCTACAGTTGGCCCTAAATGACACCCAACAGTAGCGATGCTGACCAAGTAGAAGCCAAATTCAAAATCCAGAACATGAATTATTATTGGACAAAACGAGGCCAGAGGAGCAGACTTTACCTTGGCAGGCTCCGGTGCGGTGATTGGGGATGAAGCCGCGGCGACAGGGGTGGGGCTGTCCGGGACACATCTCACATGGGTGCCCCCACGCCCGTCCCACCGTGGCACAGCACAGGGTCTTGGTGCACACGATGCCCGTCAGCTGGCCCTGGCACATCTGGTTGTTCACAGAGGCAAAACACGGCCCGGTACGGTAGTCTGCAAAGGACAAACAAAGGTAATAAGATAATATAAGAGAAACTTTATTCGTCCTGCTCCGGGGAAATGTCGATACAGGACAGCAGTGAGAGCAAACAAAATATACAATAAAAGTAGCTTTAAATGCTTCTTGTGCATGTGTATAATCCATCACAGCAGTGGCTCCCGAACTTCTTTTGCCCTGTGTAGCCCCTCGCCAGCCTAGACAGGGCAGGAGTACCACAACCACAGGGGGGGGGGGGAGGTGCTCCATGTATCTCAGGGGTCAGACTCATTCTGGTCCATGGGCTCAACTACCAAGATCGTCAACATTTTCTTAAGGGTTGTTATATTGGTGCTTTTGAGTTTTACTTCCTGTCAGTTCAGTTGATTACCTGTCCCTTGGGTGTTTCACCTGTGTATCCCTGTGTATCCCTGTGTATCCCTGTGTATCCCTGTGTGTCCCTGTGTGTCCTCTTGTTGTCGGCCCATATTTCTTCGTGGTTTGATTAAAGATTTCTGTGTTGTCCTTGAATTTTGTTCTATTTTTGGCTATTTTTAAACCATTTTGTCGGGAGCCATCAAAGAAAAATACCAATGCACATAGAAGTCATGATCTTACAGCAAGAACAGAACTGATGAAGTAAACCACTAGTAAATTCCATATGTCTGTTACTGCTGTCTTTTGTTTTACTGCTGTCTATTGTGTGTTACTGTCGTGACGGTAAAATGGGTTGGCGTTATCCTTGGTAGAGGACAACACACAGTGCAGCCTCTGTCTCCGCTGCTCCTCTCTCTCTCTCAGGTGTTTGGAGTGTCTGTTTAAACAAAACTACAGATTCTAGGAAAGCTTTCAGCGCTGGAGACGTCGGCTGCTCCAGTCTCCAGTTTACGCTGGGATTCACATCATGACAATCCAGTCTGCTGTAGGTAAAAGCAAATCTCCACTCACATCGCAATACAAGTAAATTTCGCTTTCATGTCTATTGATTTGTTTGTCTATATATACATACAGTATGTTAGACAAATATGTCTGCCTAATGTCCCCACCTGTATATAAGCGGCACCAGCCACAGGGTTTCATGTTATAATGTAGACACATCGCTACATAAGCCTCAAGGTTCAAAGAACTAGAAAAAAGTAGCATCTTATAGGCCAGACATGACGGTATGTAACTTGTCGAGGTGAATGGTCTGCAGGTACTATGGCTGTGTTTTCAACCGATGTAGATATTTTTGTCTAACCAATATCAGTTTATCCAATTAGAGTGTTTAGCCCAAAACCAATAGATTGGTAAACAAATTGGGACAGGGATTGGCTCCCACGGATCGACAGGCAGTAGATCCATGCCTCAGGAAGTGTGAGGCAGGAATGAGGAGTCTAACTAATAATTATTGGATTAAACAATTCAATTAACCAACTATTGTGTTTTTACAATCTGCGTTGATGTAAAAGTCCTACATTTGCATATATTTCTTGTATTGCAGTAAATTAAATGTTATGAAACTATTGACAGCTATTTTTCCACAAATTTAAACTTTATGATATGATGAAAGTTGACAAAAAGTTGATGAATTACAGTACTTGAACAGGAATTTCAAAGAGCAGAAATGTTGAATATTGTAGGGAAGAGGTCATTCTTCATGTGTCACGCTGGACCCTGAAGAAAGGGTGTTTCTCTCACAGAACTGCACTCCATAATGAAAACCATGACATTTGAGCATAACTGTGTGAATATGTCTCCTGGGGGACGTCCCATCTTTCTGCGCCTTCTAACTTATTTAAACGCCTCTTTGAACACTAAGGTTTCAGTCCACTCTTCAACACCGCGCCTTAGCAACAAAGTCCCAATAGGCAGAATACATTCTCATCAGGTGAAGTAGTGGATCAATGACAAAACGCCATATGAAAACACTCCCAGCTTTTTCTGGCTGAAATCCAAAGAAGAAATATTCCCATATTCTGGAGGAGTCCCAGTATGGATCCACAATAGTGATGTACATAGGCTAGCTGGAGCCAATTTCCTTACATGGGCATTTGTTTCAAGCATGGGCAAGCTGGAGTTTCTCTGATTGGCCAATCCTTAAATGGCTCATAACTGTATTACAAAGATATCAAAATAAAAACACCAGGATCAAGGAGAGCGTATATCATGTATTGTTCAAGCCCAAAATGGTGAGTGTGACACAAAAGGCTCCTATGTGTTTGTCGTTACTGCTGTCCCTGTGTTCCAACCATTTAATTCTCTGGTCTGTTGTTGTAAAATCATCAACTCTGTAAAGTCCGTTGTCTCAAAAGAGGCAGTTTTTCCGATGTATGTCGCTAAAATAGTCTTCCTGAAAATGTGACACAGGCTTCTACTTTGACAATTTAGGATTTGAATGCATTGTGTGATTATGTTTATCCTGTTTTGTTAAGCATTTTCAGTTGCCTTGTGCAAGACCTATGCAAACTTGCCTTGCCTTGCCTAAAAATTATGCTAATGATAATCACACTTATATACTGTAGCACTTTTTGGACACTCAAAGCCATTTTTCATAATATTTGTTCTTAGTGCCAACAGGGTGGTCCTCTCTTTTTCACTTTTCTGTTTCCAGAGAAGTGACAGAGGCAAAAATACATGCATTTAAAAGATTGTTTTTGTTTCAATTGATTTTTTGAGTTGCTTTCCTTGTGATTTAAAAGTTTTCAGACATGAGCAACAACAAATAAACAGCCGTTTTCTGCAAGGAACAGCCATAGAAGTTGAATTATAAACAATAACAAACCAAGCAAAGACTTTATTCCTTCTATCACTTATTGAACAACAAGAGCGTATAGTAATTATAGCGACAGGCTTTCAAAGATTATTACACCACATGAAGAAGAAGAATCAGCTTGTGCCTTTTCCTTTTGGATATATAACTGTGAATAAGTGGTGCACAAACGAAAGCATATTTCTGCAGTCTCTCCGGTCTCGTCTGGAAGCATTGATCTGACCCAGTTCTGAAGCCAAAAAAGCAGAGAGAGGAGGAGATCTGCACGTGAGCTGCTCTCGGGTCTGGTCTGGTCTCTGGGCTGGACTCCACATGGGAAACTCACTCACAAAGTCCCATTTGTTAGAGACGTCTGCTGCTGCTGCTGCTGCTGCTGCTTCCTCTCAGGCTGTTGTCTCAAAACTGGGAACCGTTTTTTGCCACCAGTGTTTGGCTGAGTTATGAGTATAGTGCATTAATTCTCACTGAAATAATGGCTCAGGGTTAGTTTAAAGCAAACACCGAAGTCTTTGCATTCAACCCAAGAACATTGTTTTTGGGCCATATAAACACACAATGATCACTCAGCAATTAAATGTATATGTTTCAATAATGATTTGAATTCTTTTGTTGTGAACATTTGTCTATAATGCAGGTCTTCTGTTCCAATTGAAAGAGTCTATAAAATGTTGAGAACAAATCAGACCACAACATGCTGATTTTTGTATCTTATCTTGCAAGAGCTCTGAGAGTTACTATTTAACACTGGGATGAGTGAGGGTGGTCATTCTTTTTCACTTTTCTGTCTGAAAAATCTGATCTAAAAGGTGGGGCAGTGGACGAGCATGCATGTGAAAACTACTGATAGAAGCAACCTGTTTTTACAAAAAAATTATAATTTTTTTTTATTAATTTTGAGCAAAAATTGTTCATTCATACATATATTTTTGGCTATTGTACGTAAAGCAGACATGTTAGTCCCCTATGAACTAAGTCGGATTCTGAGGAGCACAGGGACTGGACTCCTGCTGGTGCCTAGAATCAGGACTAAACACAGGGAGGCAGCCTTTCAGATTCATGCAGCAAGAATCCAGAACAGTCTTTCCGTAAAAGTGAGACAGGCTTCTACACTGACAATTTTAAAAGTTCAAGTTCAAATTCTGTTTAGCCGTGCATAAAAAAGGATTGTTTCTTCAATCTTTTTAATGTACTGTGATTATGTATTATTTTAAAGTCTTGTGTGATTGTTTCTATATTGTTTTGTTACGCACTTTGAGTTGCCGTGTGTATGAACTATGCAATACAACTAATTACACAGTGTGAATGATGGTCAGGCTGGACATTTAGGCCCAAAACTAAAAATCTGGAATAATCTGACGTTGTACAGGGCCACTCTAGTCTTGACATATATGGAAAACGCCACTACCTACAGCATTCACAGTTCAGTTTAAACCTCACACATAAAAAGACCTCTGAAGACCTTTCCCCTGTTATCTGCTGAGGTGTTCTGACCGCCGCCTGATCCTCTGGGTAAAATTGCTGATAATTACAAGTTCTTTTGGGCAGTAATTGAAAGATCCAGCACACATAACAGTCACATAAAGTGCCTCGCAGTCAGCTGAGGTGAGAGGGGAGCGGCCAACTCCAGCTCGGGGGAAAACTGTGTCATTGCATTCGTCATCCGAGCGTTCACAGCTGGCGGATCCACCCATGTCCCGCACATCTGGGAGCCATCACACAGAAATCTACGCACACACCATGAGCTCTGCCAAAGAACCAGCCACAATACCTTCAACAAATGGCAACAGTTAATAGATCTAATATGGAAAGAGAGTGACGGTAGAAAATTGGCACTTTTTCTTCTAGCTCAGAGCATTGGTTTGACATCGAGATTGAAAATACGCAGACTTTCTTTGGGTCCAAGATGCTTTCAGTCATGAAAAGTCACTTTGCCAGTCATTTAAAGCATGCTGTGACATTTATGTGCATTTCTATGCTTTGATATAAGGTTAAGACGATGTTACTCACTCTGCATGTACTGTATATTAGAAAAAAGGATTCTATATTATCAGAAACATCTTAATCTGTGCCCCCTCCGCGCTTGGAAGCCTCCTCAGTCCTCGATCTTCAGCCTAAGTCCTGGATCTATCTACCTCAATGTGGGCCTCCCAAAGGTTTCTTTGAGTGGTTCTTCGGTGATGCAGGAGCATCTAATGACAGAGCTGATCCGGGACATTTATCAACATTTATGGACAGTGGTTTGACCCAATCACTAAGAACCAATGG